GCTGCATGCTTCCGCAACGGCACAGCTTAGAGGGAACATTGATGGTTAGTAGTTAATGGCATGAGTTTTAGATGATGCATGAGAAAACTCATTAGCTTTGTCAAGAGAAGGCATCAGTGAAGTTTGATGAAAATGATACCAAAAGATGGTAAGAATCAGCCCATAGTCTTTACTGGTGTAGCTAATTTATAAACTTATACCATGGTCAGACTGCTCAGAAATAATTGTGGGGATTAAGCAGTCCTCTTTCTTAAATTGTTAATTACAGGCTCTAAATCTGATCAATATGCTGCTATTGCTTTGAGACAATATGGACTCCTGTGTACACATGTAACATCCAGGGGAGGTGATGGCCTAGTAGTATTATTGCTGGACTGTTAGTTGAGAGACCCAGATAACATTCTGGGGACCCAGGTTCAAATCCCATTGTGACAGATTGTGGAATTTGAATTCAATAAAATATCTGGAATTAAGAATCTAATAATGACCATGAATCCATTGTTGATTGTCAGGAAAAGCCCATCTGGTTAATGCAGTTAATGCACATCAAACATATGTCAGGTATAGACAGCATGAATCCCTAGAAGAGTATAACGGTAGTAGGAGTATACTTAAAAGAGAGAAATCAGGAGGGCAAAAAGGGGACATGAAATAACCTTTAAGGAAGGAAACTGACATCCTTACTTGGTCTGGCCTACATGTGACTCCAGAACCACAGCAATGTGGTTGACTCTGAAGTGCCCTCTGAGCAATTAGGGATGGACAATAAATGTTGCCTGGCCAGTGACGTCCTCATCCTGTTAATGAATAAAGGAAAAAAAATTCTTTGTGGAGGTAAAATTACTTGTCAAATCATAATTTGTTGAATTCTTCATCACTGAATATTGATTTAATGGTACAAAATGGACACAACTGTACATATAATCTTCTGGTTTAGGATTATTAAAAGGGAATCAGTGAAGATGGAATTGGCAGCAATGGAAACAGTTTAATGCACGCTGTGTCCATATTGAAAAATGGTAACAAACCACTGACTCTCACAGGGTTATTGGTCTTGTTCCATCCTAAGTAACATAATGGAAGCAATTATCAGAAACAAACTTGAGGATCACCTGTGATGTGAAGTGGCAAGGTAGCTGATGAGCTGCCACTATCGTGATGTGATACTTATGTGAGTTCCCTTAACATAAATATAAATGAGATGTTCATCACGTAGTACTGAAGAATTCAATGATCTTTTAACACAGCACCTAGAATCTACATATGTATGCTACAATACAGGCACTTAGTTATCTGGATCAAGCTAAGCAATTCTGATATAAAAGTAGCAAGCTTTCCTTGGTGTGTCATGCTGCAAGATAGAGACTGAGACTTTTATCCCATTAGATCACATGCTGTGATATGATTATGATATGATGATGATATCAGGAGTATGTCTCTTAAAGGTATATCACATATCTACTGTGAGACAGAACAACCAACATAAAGATAATCTAGGTTTGACTGTCAACCTGGATCCCAAAGAGGAAGATCCTGGTTAACCAATCGACTTGCCTTCTTTAGGGAAGTGACACTGAAGCAGATTGTGGTATGCCCTATGTTGTGATGAGCCTAACCTTTTAAAATGATTTTGATAAATAAGAAAATCTTTTAATAAAAGTCAATATTGTGAGGATTCCCTGTAAACTCCACAAATGAAAACAAGAGCAGGTGAAGGAAGAAAGGAGTGAAGGATTGAACATGATATGTCAGCGCTCAGTGCTCGAGCCTAGTCTACATATACGATCTGTTTCTAGATATCTAAATATATGATCTACATTAGAAAGTTCAATGGATATGGGCTAAGCTTGCAAATGATGCCAAACACGTTGGGCAAAACTGTCTCAGAAGCAGTTTGAAAACTATCAAGTGAGCTGGCCGAAATAAATAAGTAGACAAAGCATTGGCAGATGACATTCAATGCAGATAAATGCTACACATAGGAACGAAAAATAGGCAAGTTTGCAGATAATATTAGGTTGGGGTAAGTTGTATAGCTGGCAGCATGAAGTTACAAATGGTCATGGACAACACAGTGGTGGATGAAGTTCAATGTTGGAAAATATATATTCAATCACTTTAAACGGAAGAAAGAAAAATCCATATACCTTCTTGATTCAGATGGAGTCAAGAGTTGTCAAGACCAAAGAGATTTAAATGTCAAAACCAGTTCCAAATTATAGTCAAAACATCTAATTGAATTGGCCTCTATTTCAGGATGACTGGAATATAAAAGTGAGGACGTGATGCTTTGGATAAATGGAGTCTTGGTCGGTCCCTATTTGTTATGATGAATTTAGTTTCAGGCACTGTACCTCAATAAAGAGTATAAACCTTTAGAGGATGTAATTTTAAAATTAGAGCTAAGTCCGCTAACGATGGAAATCAAAAAGTATTTTTCCACACAACACACATGGGCACTCTAGAACTATCTTCTCCAAAGGTTGTGGATGGTGTGTCAACTGAAATTTACAAGTGTGGAAATCATCAGTTGGAACAGTGAGTTGCAGTTGAGAATTGAACTTTGAACAAAAGCTTGTTTTTAAAAAAAGGGAGAGAATAAAAGTTTGCAGTTGGGAATTGGCCTGGAAAGATTAAGCAGATTGATTGCTGCTCTAAGAACACTACAGATGAACCGGCTTTGAGATGTCACTATATTCAGGGACTGGCAGCTGGTTGGATATTGAATTGGTCAACCAAGGCAGGACAAGTGCCGGCCAGCCAACCACAGAGAATGTTAAAAGGAAAGGGAAACAAAAGAGGGAACAGGTTCCACTGGGATATTTTGGTAGAAGGTACTGTTGCTTTGGAAGTTGCAGGACTTTTTTTTGATTTTGCTTTCTCTAGTTATTCTTCAGCTATTGACTGATTGGAAGTCCTGAGAAAAGAACTCTGTCAATAAGAAATAAGGAAAAGTCTCTGGAGGTCTGAGAAGCTGTTTGTATTGACCAGTTACTTCAGAATTTAAGCAAGGTACAATCCTACCTGTCTGTAACACAATCCATTAGATCTTGTGAAGGTTTATTATTCATCATTGAAATGATTATCAAACTGGCAACTTACGATTCTTTTATTTTTATAACTGTGTCTGTTTATTGATATGTTAATGGAGGTCGGTGATCAAAGAAGATTGGGCTTTGACTGTATGTATTAATTAGATTGTCTCATAATTCACCCTAGTCCTGTTAGTTATATTATTAATAATAAATTGGTTCTCTTTTCTTTCAGTTATAAACTTGGTGTTCAAGATTTGGTACTTGTAAATTCTGTTTAGGAACAATTGAGCAATTTTGAGGGTCGTCAAATTATTTCACTGTGTTGAGAATCCATTGTTAGCTAGCCTAATTTGGTCTGGCTTGCTATCTCTGTGTTGTAACACAAAATTGTCAAAAATTATTTTTTTACTAGCAGGTATTAAGGAAGATAAAAATGAGTGGCACAGCTGTTACTTTTTGTGCAAATGGGGAGGTGTCTCATGGGAAGATTAGGCAGCCTAGAGGGCATGCAGTGTTTAGTGCTATCAAGGGTTTGGATTGGAGGTAGGGAGTGACCGAAGATGTTTCAGGCATTAGTGAGAGTGATAGAGCATGACCTTTGGTGGCAGAGAAAATGTGAAGTATCAGAGAGAAGTTGGCAGCAGTTTGCTGGCAGAGTGGAAAATGTCTTCTACTTTCTTCGTTAATTGCTGTGCATTTGTCCAGATAGCTAAGACTGCTTTAACCCAGGTGGCAATCTCAGACGAGGCTGGGATGGTCTGGTGTTGTGGCCTCCAGTGTTAGTCCTGAGGAGAAAGGAAGTCTCACCTCTGTATTATCCCATCCCTCAGGACCTTCAGGTCCTTTCCACAAAGTGAGGTGCCAATTTCCCCCATCTACCATGTCTGGGGCAAATGTCAGTAACTATACAGGGTAGGTCTGGGCTGACAGTGCTTAACTGGGTGTACTGTGGGCTTGTAAAGGTGATGGGGCCACAAAGAATGCTGGTGAATTCCACTGAGTGTTGAGTTGTTCTGGGAATGGTGCCAGGTAACCTGGGGCTGGAATCAGACATGACGGTTGCCACAGGGGACAAGTAGATAGGTAATCAGTCGGGTTTGGTAAGATATAGTGAGAATACTCAGTAACTCACATAGCACAAATCTATACAAAATCCTTGACTCAAAGCTTGGACTTAGCCAAAGAAAAAATGTGAGTTTTGCCCAATGGAACAGATTCATACGAGTAAAAGGTAATTTTAGAGTTGATTTCCAGGAAGTCACTCTTCAAATTAAGAATGATTAATACATGTATTAAATTCCTATGTAAGAGATTAGGCAGCAAAAAGCCTGGGATAATTTACGAAATTGTAGCATGAGATTGGGACGATGAAGATCATTCTTGAGAGATGAATCAAGATGGGAAGATTAGCCTTTCTCATTTGTAATTACCTTGTGGCCTTGTGAGTTGCAATGCTAACTGTTTTAGCACATAATTAAAGAGTTGCATTTAAAGTTTTTGAGAAGATTTGTAGCTCAGGTTGTGGATGAGGTTGTAGACTTGCTCGCCAAGCTGGTGTGTTTGGCTGCAGATGTTTCATAACCCTGTTAAGTAACATCATCAGTGTGCCTTCGGTGAAGGCAATATTACCTAACAGGGTGATGAAACATCTGCAATCAAACACACCAGCTCAGCAAGCAAGTCTACAACCTAAAGACTTGTGTTTTAGGCTACTTTGACAATCAAATATGTCTGCAAATAACAAGTCTGAAGAAATCTAGAGCTTGGAGCTTTACCTCTAACTGAACCAGCTGTTTTGGCACCATGCATCTTCAGAATAGTAAAATAGTGATTTGAATATATTCCAGTGTCATTTTGGAAAAATACTATTATCTCCAGCTTGATAATGTTTACCAGTTGTTGTGTTAGGCATCTATGGCTTTTCAACTTCAAGTCCTTATTCTAATGATTTTGTTTAAAATATAGGACAAAGATTTTAAGAAAGAATTGTTACACAAAGGACATTCAAATCCGACTGCCGAATTAGTGTGTAGCTTGAAAATCTATCAACAACACAGTCTCGAAAAGGCCTACCAAGGGAATGATTTCTTCTGGGCATTTACTCCAATGGTAGGGGACTTCATCAAATTCAGATTCTATCAACCACTGAAAATTGAAAGGTTGGTATAAAAGTGCATTCTGTAAACCTATTTCATGTATGATAAATCGAGACCAATCAATTATTCTTTTTGTTGGAGTCTGGACTACGAATAGATTTAACCATGTTTATATTTTATCAATTAATATTTTATCATTGTCAAGGGAGGACAGGGGCCTCTTTAACACACCACCCTGTTCCCTGGCCAACATCTCTGTCTTAGGCTTGTGGCAGTGTTCCGGCAAAGCTCAGCACCAGCTGAAAGAACAACACCTCATTTTCCGCTTGGAGACCCTGCAACCCTCCGCACTCAATATCAAGTTCAATAATTTTAGAGCCTGAACTCTCCCATGTCCTAGCCCCCAACCACACACACCAGGCCTACTTATCTCATAACTTGCCATTACACACTACCTATTGTTAGCCACTAACAGTTCCCATTAACACCCTCCTAGCCAGATTGTTGTCCACTCCTTTGTCTGTTCAATTGTTCTTATCTCTCTTTGGGCTCTATCCCCATCTGTCATCTACCCTTTACTCCCTCCCCCCACCCAATCTTCTGTATATAAACTGACATTTTCCTAGCTACCATCAGTTCTGAGGAAAGGTCACCGGACCTGAAACATTAACTCTGAATTTCTCTTCACAAATGCTGCCAGACCTGCTGAGCTTTTCTGGCAACTTCTGTTTTTGTTCATAAATGTTTAGCAGGTTCACTTGTAATTCGTCTCTCCATTATTTTAGCATATGCAGTAACCTATTTAAAATAAATGGATAAACACTCCAATAAAGGGCTGAAGACAGGACATTCAGAGAAAGAAGTTAAGCATTTGCTTGCCAGCATAATATAATTTAACATATCAAACCTTGCATCAGGCAGTGACAATAACGTTTTGTTTCATATGCTCCCTTATTTTTGCCTGCTTTGTTTCAGATATCTCTTTAGAAGTGGCAATATGGAACATCCAGGAGATAAATTTTTTAATACAACAGTGGAAGTTCTACCAGCTGACGTAAGTTAATCTTTTACTAAAAATTTTAGGCAAGAAATCTGCATTCACAGTTACCAGACTATGGATGCCTAAAGCATGGGCACACCATCACCTACAAGTTCCCTTCCAAGCTACATCTACTTGAACTGGGGAGAGGGGAGCATGTAAAGTACAAGTGCTACCAGCCTACCACTTTCCCACCTAACTTCAACTTCTCCATATTGTGGTAGGCACCTGGATGCAGAAATAAGCAATAATTAATGTTCAATTGAATGTATTTAAATAGATATAATAATGCTATACCAGGCCAATTTTCTGGAAAATTACATTGATGATACAACAACGCAGTTGGTGTGGGTTTGCAGATGGAAGCAAACTGACTTCTTTTCAAACGCAAGTTGTGAAGATTGGGAAGGGGACCCCCATCTTTGGAGCTACTCTGCATGTGTCAGGGGTGCTGTCCTCAAGATATTACCACCACTTATCTTCCCACTTGACTCCAAAACCAGCCACACCCCCAATTCCCTCATTTCCGCCCCTATGTTGCCTGATCCCTCCCTGCCCTTAGAAAGAAATGACCTTCCTTTGGAATCCATTGAAGATCTGCATGTCATTCCTGACAGTACACACTGCTGTGTTCTGCTGCTGCTGGAATGTCTAGAGCAACTGGTCAATCAGTCTCGCCTGCAGCTTTCAAAGGTGAGACTTTCGCCTACTGATTGGAAATCATATTCTTTGCCTGTGTAGCCCCACTGGCAGTGACTTACGGCTACCGGGTGGGCACTTTTTAGGTGCATCTGCTAATCTAGATCAAGATGTTCTCATAAGTACAATTCTAAATTGGTTTCTTCAATTTTATTGAAATAATTCCATTATAATGATCTGAATCCTCCTTTCTCAATTTTCAGAAATCTGAATTTGACAAGAATTTTTTGCACAAAAATATAACAAAATATCTCAAATACCAAGAAACAGAAGATGGCTACTACAGAATAGGTAATCAGCTAATATTTTTCTGTAGCTAAATCCAACAAAAAATGGGGTTTAAAAATATGCTTTGAAACAATATCTGGAAAAAATGTGAGCTAAAAATTGCTGTAGAGAAAGATCGGAAAACTAACTTTTTTCACTTTGTGTGACTTGTCCATTATAACAGGCATAGCTGAATTATTTTAGATGTGTCAATTAATTTGCATAAATAATAGACAAAGCATTGTCATGTGAACATATTAAGTATTCATCTACTAGTGTTGTAACAACATTTTCAAAGTTTTTCTTCATAGGGTATGATTGGAATTTTGAAAAAACTGCTATATTTCTGAGCTGGATATATATTCATGGTTCTTATTTTATTAAGGAAGATACTAGCTAGGAACCAATTCTAAGCTGACGTCTACCTCTGTTTTCTTTTACATTTCCTGCATCTTTGTTCATTACTTACATAAGGGCAGATATTCCATCTTTTCCACCTGACAAACCTAACACTATGGATGTGGGATGCTCCTTGTCTGACTTTCTTCTCTCCAGTCTGCCAAAATAATGCTTTATGCCAAGCTGGTGTAGATAGAAATTTATCCTGTAGTGAACACAGTATGGGTGCTGGTTGTGCTTAGATTGTTTCGTGGCAATCATCAAAACAATGGGTCCAATTTTCATTTTCAGGAGTGGGATGGAAATCTAATAGTTTGCTCATTATATATTCCACTTGGTTTTCCTTCCTAATGAAGTCAATGGAAATGAAAATTAATCAGACTCTTTGGTAGCTGGTCAATTGATTGCTACCTCATTGCTGGCGCTAGCATCTTTGCGTGAGTTTCTAGAAAGACCCCTAACCCACACATCATTGGACTGTGGGAAGAAACTGGAGCACTCGGCGGAAATCCACACAGACAGGGGGAGAATGTGCAAACTCCACACAGACTAACTTATCATTGTCCATGAGACAGACCTGTCTCATGGACAGTGATAAGTTAGTTGTTAATTATTTATGACCATTTTCAAATTATGTTGGTATAGTTTATCAGAAAAAAGACCTCTAATTTTATTTTATGATTCTTCTTAAAACTTTTCAACTTATAGCTTGTCACTGCTGGACAGATGGAGTAATGTGATGATGAGTCATAAAGATTATTAAGATTTCAAATTTGTTCCTATCTGATCTCAATGAAAGCAGAAAATCAATGCATTACAATTGAAATCACTGTCCCCAGGCTAAAAAGAGAAAGAAATATATGGAGCCTCTGATGCTAACTATAGTCCAGTGATTCCTGTTGTAGAGATACTAACACCGAAAACGTTAAAAAGTTGTGATCATCTTGCTAGAAATGGAAGTTCAGCTCCAGTTTGAATGTGCAAAGTTTTTATATCCCATGGCTAGTGCTCTGTGGAAAACACCTGAGCATCTTTTTTTGTAATTGGTCTCGCTCGTTTCTTGAATTTTTTGTAACTTGAGTTCACCAAGTTTTCTTTTTGTTCATTTTATCCACTTTCTCCATTTGAACGTATTACTGTCAGGGAATCTCAACATTTACATATTTAATCTATCCAACTCCACAGCAATGGTGATGATGGAAGGAGTAGGAAAAACAATTCAGAAAAAATCATAGGTGCTATGCCTGAACCTTGCTTATGTCAAATTTTCCTCAACGGAATGTGGGCTAGTGACTACTGTCATTCTTGAAGAGGAATTTTCCAAGCAAGAAAATTTCCTGAAAACCAAAGTTACTCAAATTAACTGTAAATTCAATAAAAAACCTGGAAATTCTTCCTTTAGCCCTGCTTTCTGACTATGGCTAAACAACATGTAAGTCCACTGTCTCAATTGCATTTATCATTCCATTTGAACTCATTGAAACTAAACTGCTTTTCTAATAATTTCCCTTTGAATTTTAATTCCTGCATTCAATTAACTTTAAAGTAATTGAAAATGTCATAGACAAATAAAAGTAAAATGGAACATTTAAAAAATGCTAGAACAAAACACATTTAGATTTGTTGATTGCACCAATATGAATTTACAACTTAGGAGGAGTAGGAGACCATCTGGGCCCTCAAGTCTGCCCCACTACTTGCTAAGATTGTTGATTGTTTGTGGCCTCAAGTATACCCTCCTAGCTACCTTAACGAGCTAAGGTTCTTTCAACCTCTGCCTTAAACATATTCAATTACATTGGGCGGCACATTGGCTCAGTGGTGAGCACTGCTGCCTCACAGCACCAGGAACCCGGGTCTGATCCCAACTTCGGGCAACTATCTGTGTGGAGTTTGCACATTCTCCCCATGTCTGTGTGGGTTTCCGCCAGGTGCTCCAGTTTCCTCCCATAGTCCAAAGGTGCGCAAGTTAGATGGATTGGCCATGCTAAATTGCCCATTGTGTTGTGGGATGTGTAGTAGGTGCATAAGCCACGGGAAATGCAGGGAAAGTACAGGGATAGGGTAGGGGGATGTGTCTGGGTGGGATACTCTTTGGAGTGTTGCTGTAGACTTATTGTGCCAAGTGGCCTGTTTCCACACTGTGGGGATTCTACGATGACACTCTCTAAGGAAGATAATTCCTCATTCTCTCTATCTTCCAAGCCTAGCTCTAGTCTCTCACACAAGGGGAAACATTTTTTTAGCATCCATCCTGTCAAGATCCCTCAGGATCTTGCACGTTTCAATGAGATCACCTCATTTTACTAAACACCAATGGACACAGGCCTATCTGTCCTACATTTCCTCATAGAAGTCCCCATCCTAGGAATCAATCTGAACAATGTCTAAATCAATAATATCCTTTCTGAAATAAGGAGACCAAAACTGTACACAGCACTCTTGGTGTGATCTGACAATTACCTTGTGCAATGTATAAAACCGCACTACTTTTTATATTCCATTTCTCTTGCAAAAAACAGCAATCCATTTGCTTTCCTAATCACTTGCTGTGCCTGCATACCACTTTTTTTGTGATTCATGTACCAGGGCACCCAGATCTGTATGTACCTAGGTTGTGCAATCTCTGGCAATTTGAATAATATGCTGCTTTTCTATTCTCTCTATCAAAGTGGACAAATTCACATTTTCCCACATTACACTTCATCTGCCAAATGTTTGCACACTCACTTAACATAACTATATGCCCAAGTTTGAGTGAAGATTTGTAGCTCGGGTGCTGATTGTAGATGTTGGTGTGTTCGCTGAGCTGGGAGGTTTGATAGCAGATGTTTCATCCCCTTACTGGGTGACATCCTCAGTGCGGTGGAGTCTCCTGTGAAGCGCTGTTGTCCGCAAACGGATGAGAAAAACCACACTTTCAACTGGGACAACGCTACTTTTATTGGACAGGCCAAACATAGAATAGCCAGGGAATTCTTGGAGGCTTGGCATTCACCTGTGGACTCCATCAACAAACACATTGAATTAGATCTGATATACTGACCATTATAACATACCTACCAGAAGCAGCAAAAACCAGACCGTATAAATTCAAATCAGCACAAGACACCAGCGCTTCATAGGAGGCTCCACAGCACTGAGGATGTCACCTAGTAAGTGGACGAAACGTCTGCTATCAAACCTCCCAGCTTGGCGAACACACCAACATCTACTAACTATATGCCCTTTCAAACTTCTTATATCTTCTTTGCAACTTACTTTGCTATCTTTATGTTGTCAACAAATTTAGAAACTATTGGACCCTTATCCAAATCAGTAATATAGATTTTTGGCTGTGAATTCAGCAAGAGTAAAATTCAACTGCAGTGTCAACAAGGTGCAGGGCTGGATGAACACAGCAGGCCAAGCAGCATCATAGGAGCAGAGAGGCTGATGTTTCGGGCCTAGACCCTTCATCAGAAAAGGGGGAGGGGAAGGGGGTTTTGAAATAAATAGGGAGAGAGTGGGAGGCGGATAGAAGAGGGATAGAGGAGAGGATAGGTGGAGAGGAAACAAACAGGTCGAAGAGGCGGGGATGGAGCCAGTAAAGGTGAGTGTAGGTGGGGAGTTAGGAAGGGGATAGGTCAGTCCAGGGAGGACGGACAGGTCAAGGGGGCGGGATGAGGTTAGTCGGTAGGAGATGGAGGTGCGGCTTGAGGTGGGAGGAGGGGATAGGTGGGAGGAAGAACAGGTTAGGGAGGCGGGCACAAGCTGGACTGGTTTTGGGATGCGGTAGAGGGAGGGGAGATTTTGAAACTTGTGAAATCCACATTGATACCATTGGGCTGCAGGGAACCCTCGACCTGTCCGTCCTCCCTGGACTGACCTATCCCCTTCCTAACTCCCTACCTACACTCACCTTTACTTGCTCCATCCCCGCGTCTTCGACCTGTTTGTTTCCTCTCCACCTATCCTCTCCTCTATCCCTCTTCTATCCGACTCCCACTCTCTCCCTATTTATTTCAGAACCCCCTTCCCCTCCCTCTTTTCTGATGAAGGATCTAGGCCCGAAACGTCAGCCTCTCTGCTCCTATGATGCTGCTTGGCCTGCTGTGTTCATCCAGCCCTGCACCTTGTTGTCTCGGATTCTCCAGCATCTGCAGTTCCTACTATCTCTGATTCAACTGCAGTGTGACTGTTACATAGCCTGTCATGAGCAGTCTTTTATGGTTCTACTGGTCCATTACTGCTCACTTTGTGTGTCCATGTTAACATTGAATTTTACCCTGGGCCTTCAATCAAATATGCACACTTGCTCAGTGGCAACATTTTAACTTATTCAAAACAGAGATAAAATTGGTCAAATGAAAACTGTAAATGAACTCTAATTTTAATTCTGTAGCAGTTACTAAGGTTTTGGGTAGATCTGTAGCTCGGGTTGTGGGTGTTGAGGTTGGTTGGCTCGCCGAGCTGTTTTGTTGTTCCGCAGATGTTTTGTTACCGTGCTGGGTAACATCCTCAGTGCTGCCTCTGATGAAGCGTCGGTGTGTTTTCCCGCCTGGTTTTTAAACTCTGGAATCCATTGCGATAGATTGCCTCACTTCCGGGTTTCCTCCGTAGTGGAATGTATATGGGGTCGAGTTCAATGTGTTTATTAATAGCCTGCTTCGTGGAGTGTCATGCTCGTGCTTGTCTCTGCCTAGCCTGTCCCAGGATCTTGGTGTTGTCCCAGTCAAAGTCATGGTTCTCCTTGTCCATGTGGATTGAGATGAGTGAGTATTGGTCGTGTCTTTTTGTAGCTAGTTGGTGTTCATGTACTCTTGTTGTTATTTCCTTCCTGTTTGTCCGATGTAGTGTTTCTCGCAGTCTCTGCAGGGGATCTTGTAGATGACATTGGTCCTGTCCATGGTGGGGAGTGGGTCTTTAGTTCGGGTGAGCACTTGTCGTAGGGTTGATATGGATTTGTGTGCCACTCTGATGCCCAGCGGTCGTAGAAGTCTTGTGGTGAGTTCTGATGTGTTCCTGATGTAGGGTAGTGTGATGAGCGTGTCGGGCCGTGTAGAATCTTTCTGATGCTGTTCCTGTAGGCATCTCCTGACCCAGTTCTTTGGATATCCATTATCCTTGAACACTTGGAAGAGGTATTCCTCCTCCTCTTGGCGTACTTCCATGTTGCTGCAGTGTGTTGTTGCCCTTTTAAATAGCGTTCGCACACAGCTTCGTTTGTGTGTGCTGGGATGGTTACTATTGAAGTTCAATACCTGGTCTGTGTGTGTGGCTTTACGGTGTACTTTCGTTTGCAGTTCCCCATTTGTCTTGCGCTCTACCATGATGTCCAGGAATGGGAGTTGTTTGTTCTTCTCCTCCTCTCTGGTGAATTTTATTCCGGTGAGGGTGTTGTTTATGAGTTTGTGTGTCTCTTCTAATTTGGTCCGTTTAATGATGACAAAGGTGTCGTCTAGGTAGCGTATCCATAGTTTAGGTTGGATTTGCGGAAGGACAGTCCTTTCCAGGCTTTGCATCACTGCTTCTGCTATGAGTCCAGAGATAGGCAATCCCATGTGTGTCCCGTTGATTTGCTCGTATGTTTGGCCGTTGAAGGTGAAATGGGTGGTCAGGCATAGGTCCAGTAGTTTAAGCATGTTGTCCTTGGAGATGGTTTCACTGGGGTCGTGTTCTTGTTCAAGTGGTGTTGTCATTGTTTCCTTTGCTAGTGGTATGTCTACTGACGTGAATAGGGCGGTGACATCAAACGATATCATGGTCTCTTCATCCTCTATCTTTATGTCTTTGATGGAGTTGAGGAATTTTTGGGCTGAGTGGATGGAATGGGGTGATTTGTTGACTAGGTGCTTGAGTCTTCTTTGTAGTCCTCTGGCTAATCTGTGCGATGGAGTGCCTGGTAGGAAGACTATGGGTCTGAGGGGGACTTCCGGCTTGTGCACTTTAGGGACGCCGTAGAATCAGGGTGTGTTGTTTCCTTTGGGTTTCATTCTTAAGAAGTCTGCTTTGTTGATCTGTCCTGTTTGTTTAAGTCTTTGTAGCGTGTATAGGATTTTGTTGCCTAGTTGTGGTGTCGGGTCAGTTTGTACTGGCCGGTATGTGTTCTTGTTGGCGAGCAGTGCTTGTGCTTTGGGGATGTAGTCCTTTTTATTCATTATCACTGTCATGCGCCCTTTGTCTGCAGGTAGTATAGTGATGTTCTTGTCCTTCTTTAATCTGACCAGGCTTGTCTTTCCCATGTGTTGAGGGTGTTGAGTTGCCTCTTTCTGGTTAGTGTCGGGACTACTGTCTGTCTTATAGTTTGTTGTGTTTCTTCGTTGATATTGTTGGTCTTGAGTGTGGCTTCCAGTGTAGCTAGCCATTCCGTTTTGTTGGCGTCCCTGTAGTTGTAGTTCAGTCCCCGGGTGAGAACGGCTTTTGAGAAATGATGTCACCGCCCTATTCACGTCAATAGACATACCACTAGCAAGGGAAACAATGACAACACTACCTGAACAAGAACACGACCCCAGTGAAACCATCTCCAAGGACAACATGCTTAAACTACTGGACCTATGCCTGACCACCCACTTCGCCTTCAACGGCCAAACATACGAGTAAATCAATGGGACACCCATGGGATCGCCTATCTCTGGACTCATAGCAGAAGCAGTGATGCAAAGCCTGGAAAGGACTGTCCTTCCGCAAATCCAACCTAAACTATGGATATGCTACGTAGACGACACCTTTGTCATCATTAAACGGACCAAATTAGAAGAGACACACAAACTCATAAACAACACCCTCACCGGAATAAAATTCACCAGAGAGGAGGAGAAGAACAAACAACTCCCATTCCTGGACGTCATGGTAGAGCTCAAGACAAATGCGGAACTGCAAATGAAAGTACACTGTAAAGCCACACACACACACCAGGTATTGAACTTCAATAGTAACCATCCCAGCACACACAAACGAAGCTGTGTGCGAACGCTATTTAAAAGGGCAACAACACACTGCAGCAACATGGAAGTACGCCAAGAGGAGGAGGAATACCTCTTCCAAGTGTTCAAGGATAATGGATATCCAAAGAACTGGGTCAGGAGATGCCTACAGGAACAGCATCAGAAAGATTCTACACGGCCCGACACACTCATCACACTACCCTACATCAGGAACACATCAGAACTCACCACAAGACTTCTACGACCGCTGGGCATCAGAGTGGCACACAAATCCATATCAATCCTACAACAAGTGCTCACCCGAACTAAAGACCCACTCCCCACCATGGACAGGACCAATGTCATCTACAAGATCGCCTGCAGAGACTGCGAGAAACACTACATCGGACAAACAGGAAGGAAACTAACAACAAGAGTACATGAACACCAACTAGCTACAAAAAGACACGACCAATACTCACTCATTTCAATCCACATGGACAAGGAGAACCATGACTTTGACTGGGACAACACCAAGATCCTGGGACAGGCTCGGCAGAGACAAGCACGAGAATTCCTGGAAGCATGGCATTCCATGAAGCAGGCTATTAATAAACACATTGAACTCGACATTCCACTACGGAGGAAACCCGGAAGTGAGGCAATCTATCGCAACGGACCCCAGAGTTTAAAAACCAGGCGGGAAAACACACCGACGCTTCATCAGAGGCTGCACTGAGGATGTTACCCAGCACGGTAACGAAACATCTGCGGAACAACAAAACAGCTCGGCAAGCCAACCAACCTCTGTAGCAGTTAATTTTGCTGGCAAAATTCAAATTCAACTTTTTTTGTTTAATACCAATATTGTAGTATGTTTCCATCTGAAGTAGATAATTGATTTATATTCACATATAAAATTATAAATGAAATCATTCAATTTTTGTCAAATGTGACTTATTCAATGTGTAGATTTTTGTTCATTCTTATTAGATAAACTATTCAAAACTTATTTAGTGTAGTTTGCTTACAACTTCTGGAAAGATTTTTCTAATCTTTTCACAGTGCTGGAGATGAACCTGGTGTCTAAATATGAAACTTTACTCAGTGTCATTAAAATTTTCCAACTTATCTATGTTTAATTTAGCCAATTTAGTCTCTGGGTATATCTTTAGTTTGTTTTCTGTGAATTGTAATCTTGTTTCATTTACATGTTAAGGTGAATTTAGAAATGGAATTGCGGAAGGTGAAGTTGATGCATCGATTGGAAAAATTGAGGCTATTCGACTGTTCGTTCTTTCCAAATCCCCTGTTTGGGTTTTACTGAGTGAGGTAATATTTCAGAAAGGACACAGCATCCTAAACTTTTTTATACTATAGAGTTCCTTTAGGTTTCTGAATCCCAGGTCTTGTACAGCTGACAGAATATCTTTAAAATAAAGTGTACAAGCTAACCTTGTTCCAGCAGCAATGGATGCTAACTTTTCCATTGGTGAATGGATTGGCCATCAGCTCTATCTCCACTATGGACTCTAACCTGTGGTGATCAAGGATAGACTTAATTGACAGATTTACAAGATATGAACAAGATTGGTTCTTCAACCAACCTGTGTTACAGCAACAAGAATCAATCTAACCTTGGCTCAGAGCATCTTAGTTTCATGTTAGTAGTGCTCTCTAGGGACTATAGGTAGCCCATTTCCAGGATGAGAGGAAAATTCCATGTTGCACCTAAAAGCGTCAAGGCATCCAATGTGGTTCTATGAGGTATTTAAGGGTGAATCTTCTTCAGGGCATTTGGCCTTCAATTTAAAAAATCTTTAATGAAGCTGTTTCAATTTTCATTGGCAAAGAAAGCCCCAGATTTTTGCACCAAAAGGAGAAGATCCACAAATGAAAAAACAAAGGGTTTTTGTGGTAATTGGCAGTAATTGTCCCTGCCCTCATTAGGGAATGCCTCCTGAAATTTGTACTGGATTCCATATCATAGCAGAATGCCCTGACACTCTTTCCATGAAAGAAAACCGTGCAAAAAGATCAGGAAGAACCACTTTAATATCCCAAGGGTCAGCAACCTCAGAAGTTTCTACAACTGGAGGAGATGTAAGGATGGTAGATTCAGGCTGCAAGAGGTGCCGCTATGATCCTAAACAATAAGACTTTGCCAGATTGTTATCAGTGAGATGAGATATATGCAAGGTGAGGACATCTTTATGAAGGAGTAACAGAATCATCTCCACATAGAAGCCTTGGTAATTATGCAGAAAAACGTAATGCTGGCAAATGTCCAGATTGAGAATATATCAAAGCAATAATGACAGGATATGTATGAAAGGAAGCTTGTATCTTAGCTCTAGATCACTCAGGAGCTGTGAATGCAGTTTTATGGCACCTGACAGTTATCAGATATTGCTTTGTGAGGGGAATACAGACTTCTCAAGTATCTGACAGTAAGGCAGACAACGAAACTCTGCAGATAGGGAGATGTGGGTCATGGGAAACAGTTGGAGACCACCTACTGTGCAGGTGCAGCCTGAAAGCTTTGCAATCATATCTTCTTATGCTCCTCTTTCTTTCTTCTGACAATGGAGGAACCGGAGGATAGTAGACTCATTTAATTTCTAATTGGAACATAATAGAAGGTTACCAAAAAGCCAAGAAAACTGCTGTTATCAAGAGGTATTGTCAAATTCAGAAACATTCAAACTTATTTTGTAAATGTTATTTGTGGACTTGGGAACTTGAAATGATGTGAAATATATTACTACCAGATAATTTCTACTCAATTTAAATAATTTATATACTTCTAGTGAGCCCAATGCCAAGTTTTCAGGCTTTTTAAAGAAATATTTTCCCTCTGCCCTTTATGAAGCAGCAAGAAACATTTTACTGCATTAAATGTGGCATGGTTTGCCAAGTAAAATGTGAGGCGGGGGGGAAAAGAGAGTGGTGGCATGTTAACCTAGAACAATTGGTAGGAACATTGGCATCCTGTAAAATAAATGCTACCTGTTCATTACAATGACCTGCACACGCAACCAATGCTCCACACAGTTCATTGGCTGCATACTCAGCAGGGGGGTAAGGCAATCAGCAGCCCATAAAGGGGGGATGAATTGCTGTTATACTTATCATTGAAATGGTTGAACATGGTGGAGAAAAGTCATCAAGTGTCTATGATTCTGCACTGGAGATCATGGTGTAGGAAGTGGAGGGGATGATATAAAATCATGATCCCCCAGGGGTCAGGAAACCCTCTTGGTTGCTGATGAGGTGAGAGGAGATCATTAAAGGGCTCAGTACTAGAAATATAACTGCATACAATGCTGCAAAATGTTTTAGTTAAATCATTTAGCTATCAGGGTAAGAACATTGTTCAGAGATAGTAGGAACTGCAGATGCTGGAGAATCCGAGACAACAAGGTGCAGGGCTGGATGAACACAGCAGGCCAAGCAGCATCATAGGAGCAGAGAGGTTTCTCATTACAACTGCACAACTTGAGTGCTTTGTGGTTAGTGTGGCACTGCACCAAGCAAAGTTAGTGCATGGCATTCAATAAGTTGGAGTTATACATAATGTTAACTCTGTTCTGCATGCAATGCATGACTCTCATCTACAAAATTATCCAGCTGATTTAAATCCTGTCAGCAGTATAAATCCTAAATCTAATGCAAATGCTACCTCCTACATTAAAAAGGTGAACTTCAGACTTTTACTCCATACGCATGTATTGGCCCTGACAATTTTCATAAAATCATAAAACCCCTACAGTGTGGCAACAGGCCATTTGGCCCAATAAGTCCACACCACCCCTCTGAAGAGCATCCCACCCAGACCCATTCCTGTACCCCTGCATTTCCCATGTCTAACCCAAACATCCCTGGGCATTATAGCATAGCCAGTCCACCTAGCCTGAACATCTTGACTGTGGGAGGAAACCAGAGCAAACCCATGCAGACACAGGGAGAATGTGCAAACTCCATGAAGCCAATAGCCCAAGGCTGGAATTGAACCCATGTCACTGGTGCTGTGAAGCAGCTGTGCTAACCACTGAGCCACCGTGCCACCCTGTGAAAGCAGACTGCTGTTTCTGCCTGGTTCTTAGTAGGTCACATACTCCCTGAAAAGTTTATGCAACACTGTTAAATTTCTGACCCAAATTGTAAGAAATGAACAGAGTATGGATTTATTCAATAAAATTCACAAAATGCATTTTAAAAATGTTTACAATGTTTTTGCAGATATTTATTAAGCCAGCTGCATAAATGCAAGAAAGAAACTGGGCTTCCCAACAAAAGTGCAACTATTTCTAGTGCCTCTTCAATAAAGTCTGCCTGATGGATTTCCTCAACAACTGCACCACCTAGTGTGGTAAAATAAAAAGAACAATTGATTGAAAATCAACAAGGGACAGAGCTAATATAAAGGATCACGGTGATGGAACACTGCAGATTTGCAAAGGTTTGAATGATCTTTGACCAAAACAATTTAACTTTATTTATTTAATAATCACATTGTTTTTTACATGAAAATAAATAACAAAATTCCATTTTAATGAAAACTTCAGTGAAGTTGAATTATGGGTTTATAAATGCATACTTAGTGTAGAAACAATAGGTATGCTTGGTAACTTTATGTAATTGGCACTAAGATAAATAATTTAAAATTATATTACATTAAGTTGATTTGATAATGGTCACTTCTAATCACAAAGTATCTTTTATTTATTGGGTGGGAGAAGATCTCCTTTCCAAAGATTTGGTTTAGCACCTCCTTCCACAATTGGATTGTAGCCCTGAGCTATGACATTCTATGAGCTGACAAGGTGTCCCTTGGCTTTTATATCTTCCAGAAATAAAGCACTCTGCTGTTACATCAAACTTTATTTTAAATTAAACTGCCAAAGAATTCACAGTAAACAGACACATGAAGTTTGTTGTTTAAATGTTATTCAAAGCTCGGATCCAAACTTGATGATCGAAGTTCTACATGTTTCAGTTAGAGCAAAAAAAGCTAATGAAGGTATAGGACCTGAAATTCTGAGACTTCAGCCAAAAGAACTTCAGGACCTAATGATCCAGATATTCCAATCAGGGTCAGAAATCCTATTCCGCACCCTGATCAAGTTACAAATTATCCACTTAACTTGAGAAGACTCCTGCATTGGAGATTCCTGGACAAGAGTTTTCTGTTAAGAACTGATACCGGAATCCATGAACCTAGCAGTACAGAAAATCTTTGTAGAAACCAAAATCTTTGCAGCAGTCCACTCGGGATTGCTCAACGTTGCTCACCATCTTGCTTTCGTCCCTCTAATCCCTTTGCCACACCTGTTCTGACCCCTTACTGCCTCACTTGGCACTCCTCTTCGAAGTCCTCAATTACCATACAGAGGGCAGCAAGGGATTGGGGACAAGTGGCAATCTTGAATTTTTGAACGCTTGGGTAGCAGCAAAGGTGAAGATGAGTGAAGGTGGTGAACAGGAACATGACAATGACTGAACTGTTGGGAGAAACAATACATACCAGTGGGTTGAATTAATGTTCCTGTGTGGTGGTGGGAGTTAAGTGGTTAATCTTTCAATGCTGGAAGAGGACTGGCACTTAATTACACTCAAACTATCTTGTTGCTACAGCAACATTAATTGATGATTCTGTTTTCTAAGTTTTTTTTATTCTAAAATTCAATTTGGCTTGGATTTTATTAATATATGGAATGCTGTTTTTAGTGCCATTTATTTTTTCTTTTCCTTTAAAAGGTAGTCATCATCATACCATATTTTTTCCTTTTAAGATCATTATACCATTATTCTGTTAGAAAATCATGGGAGAGCATTTGGTTTATTCTTCACAATAGCACTTTGTAACTGAACCGCAGGCATGAGCTTCAAGACTTGCAATGTAAATTCCTTCTGCATGTCTTCTCTGAGATGAGCATATAACATTTAACAGCTCATCAAAGGACCAATAAAATTTGTGTAATGAGGATGAAAGCATGAAATCCAGAATTACAACTTCTTTGCAAATACTCAACTTAAGATACAAGGCTACCTCAACTGCTTGTTTTATTATTTAAAAATGCCTTTCACAAATACCCATCAATTTTGTATAGCAGCTGTTGATCTTTAGTCTGGTTATAAATGGTTAAATTTTGGTTTGTAACAAAATAACTATTTGGGTGCCTTGATGGCAGTGGTAACATTATTGTAATCAGATAGCGCACAAAGTCGAGGATATATTTTGCTCTACGGATTAAGTAAAAGCAATATTGCTGTAACAAACTTTAATTGGTTCATTTTGCTTCACTAGGAGAGTGCTTTATATTTAAACACAGAAAAATGTGTTCCATAGTCTGGAAGGCATAATATTGGAGTCAATAGTAAATCTGCCCATTTAACAGTAACATTTGTCAAACCTTCAACCAAAAATGTATGGCTGGATTCTCCTCTCATACCCAGAATGAAGCCAAGCAAAGACAATGGTAGAGAATTGATGGAAAATTATTGTGGTGCCTCCTTCAGGCAACATATCTCACCAATGCACCCCTTTCCCACAACGCATCAACATACTTTGCATATCCCTCCAGTCCCCACCAGAATACTGGCTGCTCCACATTTGCTATGGGGAGAGGGGACCAACTATTTTGTGTACTTTTTGGTAGATACACATTACTTGCAGTAAAAGGGATGTAGCAATTTCAAGGCACTTGTACAAAGGTTCTCTCTCATCATTGTGCCCCCAAGAATTATCCATGTCTTCACAGGAACAGAGATTTCTCTTTTTTGCTGCTCCATCCTCTACGGTTGCTACACTCACAATCCTCTGAAATAACAACGAGTCTGCCTTCTTCTGTAGTGGTTGTATTCATTTTAATAACAGCAATCCCACCAGGAATCCACCCTATATGTCAATTGATTGAAGAGAATGGGTCAGGTTTACACCAGTCATACCGATAGGTGAAAGATGCACCCAACTGCAACAGCACTGCTGGGAGAAGTATGCTGACTGTAATATCAACTCAGATATTTGTCTGTTTACACTTTAAAGGATTTGTGCAAATTTTTAGCTTTTGTGTTGGTGGAATATATTTTTAATTTTGTAGTTAGTGGATGATAGAAATGTTAAATTGAATATTTTTGAAAATGAAAAAAATAAAAGCAACCTGATACATCATTTTTATTGATACTAATTATTCCTGATACTTTCATTTATACATATTAAGGGCTTGCATATTACTCCATCTGTGCATGGTATTATTAACATAAGTATTTTGTTTAAAATACTGAAGATTTAGCTTATGTTCTTGTGAACACACCATGGGGAATCTTTGAAACCGTCATGAAAATAGATGTGCACGTATTTGACATTCCCAAAAATTCCAATTTTCTTCACTTATCCTTCCTTTGTGGATAAATATGGCTAGTGTAATATGAGATTTGAACACATGAATGGTCCAAAGATCATGAGATAGGAATTGTTTATTTCGCTGGCATCCAGTCATTACAACCAGGAAGAGAAATTAAGAATAACAAGGAACTGGTTACAACATGCATGGAATGACTGTGTGGATTACACTGAACTGAGGAATTACTTTAACTGTCTTCTTTCCCTTCCCTAGAAGAGTGCTTTAGATTTAAACACAGCAAAAATGTGTTCCATTGTCTGGAAGGCATAATATTGCAGTCAATAGTAAATCTGCCCATTTAACAGTAACACTTATCAAACCTTCAACCGAAAATGTATCAGAGATAGTAGGAACTGCAGATGCTGGAGAATCCGAGACAACAAGGTGCAGGGCTGGATGAACACAGCAGGCCAAGCAGCATCATAGGAGCAGAGAGGCTGACGTTTCGGGCCTAGACCCTTCATCAGAAAAGGGGGAGGGGAAGGGGGTTTTGAAATAAATAGGGAGAGAGTGGGAGGCGGATAGAAGAGGGATAGAGGAGAGGATAGGTGGAGAGGAAACAAACAGGTCGAAGAGGCGGGGATGGAGCCAGTAAAGGTGAGTGTAGGTAGGGAGTTAGGAAGGGGATAGGTCAGTCCAGGGAGGACGGACAGGTCAAGGGGGCGGGATGAGGTTGGTCGGTAGGAGATGGAGGTGCGGCTTGAGGTGGGAGGAGGGGATAGGTGGGAGGAAGAACAGGTTAGGGAGGCAGGGACGAGTTGGACTGGTTTTGGGATGCGGTGGGGGGAGGGGAGATTTTGAAACTTGTGAAATCCACATTGATACCATTGGGCTGCAGGGTTCCCAAGCGGAATATGAGTTGCTGTTCCTGCAACCTTCGGGTGGCATCGTTGTGGCACTGCAGGAGGCCCAGGATGGACATGTCATCTGAGGAATGGGAGGGGGAGTTGAAATGGTTCGCGACTGGGAGGTGCAGTTGTTT